GTGTGTGTGTGTGTGTGAGAGAGAGAGAGAGAGAGAGAGAGAGAGAGAGAGGGAGAATGAAGTTCTTAAGAATGTCATGAATAACTTCCTTTCCTGTCTATTCATCCTTGCGTATTGGAAAGAAAAAGGAAAAGAAAATCATATACCAAAAGATAATTTGATTCTACGGTAAACTCCTAAAATCCTGAGCCCAGCTTTTAGTGAATTAAAGTTTGAAAAATTATAAACTATATCATCTAGTAAACAATATTATATGAAAGTCACAGTTATAGTATCTCTCTCCTTTTAAATTTATTAAGATATCTTGAACCCCTATACTTAATATTGGGAAACGTATTCTTCTAATTTATCAAAGGAAAGAAAAAGCCAAGCTGGAATAATTTACAAAGATTCCATCAAGCAGAAAAACTTTAACATTCTATACCCATTTTATGCTGCGTTTTAGAAAAAGGACGTTGAATAACTTGTAATAACAGCGTTTTTGTTTCTTCATTTGATTTTACTGCAAGTTTGTAGTTGTCATTTTGCTTTTGGGAAATTTTTTAGAGAATAATGTCTCTATTCAAATGTCAAAAGAATAAAGTTTAATGGCACCGCTTCCTATGTGCCATCTGTGATTGACTTCTAATAAGCAGTGAGGGAACTTGGGCTGAAGATGTTAATTTAGGCGATTGAATCCCTATTCTTTGACTAGGAAAATGTGAGGTCCTAGAGAAGTATTGTGTGTTCAGGACTTAAAAATGGGGTGAACTTTGCCTTATGAATTTTCAATCATAACTTGAAAATAACTTCCTCCTTTTCATGGTCTTTTTAGCCAACTCTGAAAGTATGAGGTTGAAACCTAGGGAATATCTGCGAGAAAAGTGGAGACGTCCCCTTCAAAGGAAGTAGCAACAAAGCAATCAGTAAAAAAATGGCCCTGGAATTACCATTGAAAAAATTATTTATTTTTATTTTATGTGTTTGAGTGTTTTGCCTGCGTGTGTATAAGTGTACCCGGTCATGCAAATTCTGCAGAGGCCAGAAGAGGATGTCAGGTCCCCTGGAACCGGAGTTACAGATGATTGTTAGCTGCCATGTAGGTGCTAGGAATCGAACCTGAGTCCTCTGGAAGAGCAGCAAGTACTGTTAACCTCTGAGCCATCTCTCCAGCCCCTGGAATTGCCATTTTGAAAGTGAAATCTTTTCCGTTACCACATCTTTGAATGAATGCTAAGGACATGTAGAACATTTAGAAGAATTAAAATTATTTGGAAAGTAGCAAGAAGGGCCTGATTTTTTTAAGGAAGATAGCAAGAGTCAGGACACTTTTATAATCAATGCGTCATGCTAGGCTGTCTCATGTCTATGCTGTTGAAAATGGTCTCAGGTCCAGTAGATAATGCATTGAGACAATCCTTTTTCTAGGATGGTTTTCTAAGTGTGATGTTATTTTGCCTTTGCAGACTTGGTTGGGATACAGTTGTGAGAAGCCTCTTAATGAAATAGTCATTTGCTTGCAGAAAGCTGTGGTCTTTTGTACTGAGATTTGGGAATTGAATCCATGGATAGCTCTGTCTGCTAACATTCCATAAAATAAATGGTGAGGTGTCTGGTCCGGGCTTCTGCCTTCCTCCAGCGTTCCTTCCTGCCTGTTTCAGTCTGTGTCATGTGGCTCATCCAGCTCACTGCAGCGTCTTCCGGCCTTCTTCATCTCACAGCTTCTGACCTCTCTCTCTTTGGTTCCCTTGCTTTGCAAACTACTAGTGAATCTCCCTGTTTTTGAAGAAAATGTCCAAACCCCTTGGCATAATTTTAGAGATTTATTATTTTCCTTGAGCGTCTTTCCAGACGTTTACTAAATGTGTATTGTGCTTTTCTTTCACCACTTAACTCTGCCACTCTCTACCAAGGGAATCTCCCCGCCTTTCCATTTCAACTAAGGTGTGTAATTATTCTCCCTCTTAGGAAAGAAATCCTCATCTTGGTGACATTTGATTCTTACTTACATGTTGATTCATTCAGCACTTTATGATTAGCTCACACTCTGTTCCAGGTACCAAGCCACTTATCCCAGGCTGCTTCATGACAGAGCTTTGCACGTTCTTGTATTTTTCTGCATAGAATTATCCTTCCTAAGGGTAGGACATAACCTTTCATTCTTAGCATCCTGATGTGCTACCGTAACTAAATTTAAAGTGAAATTGCAAATACCAAGAGCAAATGTATTGGAGCAACTGATAGACAGTAAGTCTCCGCCAACTCCCGCCGGTCTTATTCCCATGCCCGAATCTCTGTCTTGGCACCAGTTTATTCCAGTTTTTAGAGTTGCAACCAGGCTAATGTCCCTGACTTTCCCTTTGCTTTTTGTCAGTTATGACGTTATTTACAAATGTGTGTTGCGTGTTTAGTGGGTTAAATCCGAAAAGAGCGAAGGAGCTGATGACTGATGGAAAAAGATGCCTTTCCATGCCTCTATGCATAGATATTCATCAGGGGACACTTTTATGTTTTCAAGGCAGTATACAGGTAACTTCGTGTAAAATGGAACATTTTGCTTTGAATAGTTGGCTCATTCTTCCTAAAAATGATATCCAGGCAACCTTTGGGAAGGGTGCCATCAATGCGAGGCTTAAATATTTTCACTGGTGTCCTTGCTAACATATGGATGCCTCCTCTAGCCCTTTTTCCTTATGACTTTGCTCACTGACTTTTTAATTGTGTGTTTGTGTGTGTGTGTCTGTGTCTGTCTCTGTGTCTGTCTGTCAGATTTTGTCTGTGTATGTGGGCGCCCATACAGAGTTCAGAGTAGATTGGTATGAGTGTTGATCCTCCCTTCTACCTTGTTTAAGCTCTATCTCTTGTTCACTACTCTGTATGCCAGGCTAGCCTCCTGGGATTCTCCTGTCTCCACTGCCCCCCTCCCCATAGGAGTGCTGAGATTGCAGACACCTGTTACTCAGTCAGGCTTTTACATGGGTTTTGGGGGGAACGTATGCCTTCATTCTTCTCTGGCAAACTCTTTACCTACTGAGCCGTCTACACCATCAACTCATCACTTGCTTTTTCACAACTTTCATAGTGGGAAAGGAACTTCAGATGGGGGGCTAAAAGTATCCTTTTGAAGCAAGGATGTGTGCTTCATTCGCAAAAGCACCACTTCAGTCCCTCCTTGTCACAACCTAAAGCAAACACTCCTGTTCCTTACCAACAGTGCCTAGAGTTAACTGAATGGGTTTTGGCTTGTGGTACAACACTAGAAACAATATGTCAGAATGTCTTTAATTCACTAATTTCTGGTTATAGGAAAATTCCTTGCACAGTTTCTTGGTGAGAGAACAGACTTGTTTTTCGAGAACTGCATCAAGAATGTTTTATTCTTGTTTTTCAGTGCAGCTCAGACCTTGCTCGTGGCTTAAATAAATTGGCAGCATTACGGTTAAAACTTCTCCACAACCCTCCCTTTGCGTTTGCTTTGTCTTTCTCTCCTCTTGAGTTGAGCATGAAAAATGAATTTGTACATGAGTAGAATCCATTTGGCGACTGGGGCTTTTATTGTGAATAAAATCACTCGTTTGTTATGTCCTGTTGTTTTCAGCAGACAGTGTATTGATCCGTGGATTGCTATTCAGAATGGCGTAAGGTACTCTAACATAAAGGGGACATGGCAGTGTTTGTGGTTGGTTTGAAGGCAATGCGTGACAACAGAGACAAACCTTGCTTGCTGGCCATACTGTATTATACAAATCATTTGTCAACAGTTTATTGAATCAGTTATTTTAAAGAACAGATTTTTCTGAGCAGGAACATCACATACAGAATGCTATCAGGGCCAAACAATGTTAGGATGATGCATGGGGGACAACAGCCTTCCAAAATGTATTTGTGAAGAATTAGACTGTGTAACTTAAAGGACGTTTCTGCTGACACAATACAAACAAAAAGTTTGCTGCAATGGAAAGGTTCAGTCTAACAGATAGAAAAGAAAACTTAGGCAAATGCT